TGTTAGACGAAGAATGAGGGGAGATCTGATCGAAGTGTATAAGTGGAAGATAGGTATTAATAAAGGGGATATTAATAAGGTCTTGAGGATGTCTCTCCAAGAGAGAACCCGCAGTAATGGATTTAAATTAGATAAGTTTAGATTTAGAAAGGACATAGGAAAGTATTGGTTTGGAAATAGGGTAGTTGATGAGTGGAACAGTCTACCTAGTTGGGTTATTGAGGCTAGGACTTTGGGTAGTTTCAAATCTAGGTTGGATAAGTACATGAGTGGGAAGGGTTGGATTTGAGTGGGACTTTCACATCAGAGCTTATTTCTTGGGTAGCATTGAAAATTGGGTTGGGTAAATGTTTTGTTAGTGGGATGAATTGTAAAGGACCTGCCTAGTATGGGCCAGCAGGCCTCCTGCAGTGTTCCTCCTTTCTTATGTTCTTATGTTCTTATGTTCTTAGATACATCTCCCTGTATATACTGAGAGATACTTCTCCCTGTATATACTGAGAGAGATACTTCTCCCTGTATATACTGAGAGAGATACTTCTCCCTGTATATACTGAGAGAGATACTTCTCCCTGTATAACTGAGAGAGATACTTCTCCCTGTATATACTGAGAGAGATACTTCTCCCTGTATATACTGAGAGAGATACTTCTCCCTGTATATACTGAGAGAGATACATCTCCCTGTATATACTGAGAGAGATACATCTCCCTGCATGTACCCTTGACTTATTTTACACTGAAAATTTTCCTTGACACTGCCCTTCCTAAAACCTTGAAAATAAAGATAAAAAAATTTGCAGATATTTTCCAGTAAAAGATTCTCAATACAAAATTAACCTTTTACAACTCATGTACATTTCATTATGTTTTTTTATCAATTTGTTGTAATTCATTTATCATTGTCGTGCAAATTAAACATCACTGAATCGGACTTCAGTATAACCGGGAGAAGAATCTTAACAAAAGTCAGTGTAGGTACAAACTGAATGTTCTGGTCTACAAGAACACTGTAAATTCAGCTGAACAGTCATCTTTAATATACACTGTTCATACTTGTGTATACATATGCATAAACATATTATGTATTAAGATATAACACCTATGATGATGTTAGGGAGCCACAGCCTCTGAGAAGAGAATACAGAGGTTGAAGGGAGAAATCTCTCATTTTCTGTTTGATGTTACCGAGTGTTGTCATCTAATTTCTTATATTTTAAAGATACTTCAAAAGTTTATTTTGTATAAATGATTTTGAGGGTTACATTACAGATACGAAAAGTCGGTATGTTTGTCAACTTTTAAATTTCAAATATTTTATCGACCTCTTCAGAATTCGGTTGTAAGCCTAGAACACGATACTGAAGCACTTAACAAGAAAACGAATCTCTATGGGGTCAGTAGTTTTCCTAATTGGGATTTCGTTAAACTCTTTCAGGAATATAAAAGCACACTTTCCCACGAACTGAAGTGCCTGAATAAGCTGAAGAAGAGAAGTATTGATAAGCAAGTTTCCTGTATATTCTAAACTTTTGGGGCCTTTTTTTTTTATTATGTAGATGCACGCTTGTAGTCTCACATTATATGCCTACCATGTGCTCAGGGTAGCATGGTGATTATGTAGACTGTATCGTCAGGTCTGCATAGTTGAGACTGCCCAGGCTTGCGATTTTTACCTTTAATCAAATTGTAAATAAGACCATAAAGCTCACAGACACTCTTGCATTCGGTGAGGACAGGGGCAGCAAGGCGAAGGGCTATGCCAAGTCGAATAGTCCGAGGGCCGAGACAAATGTCAGAGGGAAATCAGAGACAGGCAATAAAAAATCCCCTGCATGATAAGCTCTCACTGCCAGGAAGAGACCTCTGCCAGGCTTTAACACATTCGCGTGTGGAGTTTCCCAAGTTAATAAATCTGTAAACAAACTTATGGTTACAATATAGTAAGGAATCAAGTGTATGGATACAATTAAGTATATATTAAGTAAAAATCATCATTGAAAATAGTAATAAAACAAATAACCTTACTACCACTACTACTAAAAATAAAAAATGGTAATGGAAATAATATTAATATAAACAGAACATGCAAAATTAATACTGGAAATAGATGATAATACGGAACAATGGTAATGGCAGTGTTAATAACACAGTATATAACAACAATAAAAGTATTAATGAGACACACAGCAATAGGTAAATTCATAATGGAAACACTTCTCTCACCAGGAATTTTAAAATCCAATGACTGGACTGATAAGCACCTCGAAACGTTTACAAAATAAAGTTACTTTACAATGTAAACTGAAATATTTTCACCTCTTGTTTCCATCGCGTCGATATTTTATACCATTTCTCTCCGTCAAAATTGTCTAACGTTGCACAAGTCTCTTTTATAGACAATGGCAGTGTTCAAGCGTCTTTGGTACAAGGAGGATACTCTCAAGTTACTGCCCGTCGTCTCAGAGGAATAAGGTCGCCTGTGGTCTTTGAAATCCTAACCTCCTTCATTAAATCTTGATACCTAGTGGGGAAAAATGCATAAGTATATAAAAATTTTAGCTATAAAAAAAATTTACCAGTTCAACCGCTTAGAGCGAAAAGTTGTTCAAATATGAGTTTGTTGTATATTTGTACCTTTTCCTTCCTCCATAACTGTCATAGTCACGCCCTCCTACCTCGATCCCTTGCTCTAATTCTTTTGCGCTGCCAACCACTTTGCCTCGTAGTCATGTTTTTATTCATTTCCATTCTGACCATTTCATATACCGCATGGTCTTCTCTAACCCTCATAACTATGCCTCTTCAACTTTCGTTTATGTTCTTTTCAAAAACATAGTACCTTCCTCTCACCATCAACTGATCCCTTCAACCACTCTCTACCAACTTTTCCTATTTTTCAGACTGAACCAGCTATCAGTTAGTGCAAAGCCAAGTTTAGCAAAGATCTTTTATTTTTGCAACGTTTCACGTTTGAGAGACTTTGTCAAGCTTTATCACTTGTTAAAGCCTCGTTTAAGTACTAGATTAGGAAAACAACTATACATTCTCAATTTTAGTCTATGCTTGCCCGTAGGTCTGTGCATACCATGGGTTTTCAAATTGTGCATTTCTGCCATAAAGACTTGAAATAAAAATTATTAATTATTCCTACTAATTATTAATATTATAAAAGTTGTAACAATGATTCTACATTGCCTCTACATGTTTTGTTTACATTTGTCTCGCAGACACACTCCCACTACATCTTCTGTTCATTATTTACGTTACCCCTCCCCCCCTATGACCATTCACATTCGCTCACCCTCTCCCCCCTTCAGCTTTTTCCCTTCCCCTGCCGCCTCCCTTCAAGCCTTCCCTCAGGAGGTTTCGAGGTTATCCATCTCCATAATGACCGCCAGCGCCTCAGGCTGATCAAAAGCGCTGTCAGAGACGCAGTCGAAGTCGATTATTATGGAGCGTCAGCCTCGGTGAAGGTTGAACGTTGGGGCTGCCTTGTCTTCTCTTGACCCAGACGTCGCTCTACTGACGTATAACGTCATAGAGTCATTCTTTTGAGACACTATTCAAGTAAACGTCTCTTCCTTGACCCAAACATTGTCCGTTTGACGCAGAAATAGCTTTCTTGACGCAGACACTGCTCTCTTGAGACAGGTGTTACTCTCCTGAAGTAGACGTAACTCTCTTGACGTATAGGCAATCTGTATACACCTAAATCGCTCTGCAACGCATGCGCTGCCACATAACTAAATGACAACACGTACGTGTGTGTGTGTGTGTGTGTGTGTGTGTGTGTGTGTGTGTGTGTGTGTGTGTGTGTGTGTGTGTGTGTGTAGCACTAAACCCGTGTGCGTCATTCAGCACAAGAAGTAATGCAGGTTCGATCCCCAGGTTTTACTCCTGCAGAGAAGTCAATACAACATAATAGCAACGTCCTGGCTTAAGAAAAAAATATTCCGCACTAAAATAGACCAATGCAATACAGTGTTGTCACTATTTAGACCAATGTAATGCAGTGTTGTCGTGATTTAGACCAATGTAATGCAGTGTTGTCGTGATTTAGACCAATGTAATGCAGTGTTGTCGTGGTTTAGACCAATGTAATGCAGTGTTGTCGTGGTTTAGACCAATGTAATGCAGTGTTGTGGTTTAGACCAATGTAGTACAGTGATGCTGTGGTCTGGATCATTTTTAATACAGTGTATTTGTGGTTTAGACTAATTTAGTGGAATGTTGTCGTGGTTTAGATAATATAATGCAGTGCTGTCGTGGGTTAGACCACAGTAATGCAGTGTTGCCGTGATTTAGATAAATGCAATACAGTGTTGTCGTGGGTTAGATAAATATAACAGTGGTGTTGTCGTAGTTTAGACCAATATAATATAGTGCTGTCGTTGTTCAGACCTATGTAATACAGTTCTGTCGTAGTTTAGACCAACGCAATAACGCTCTGTCGTTTTTTTTTAGATCAGTGTAATGCAATGTCGTAGTCTAGATCAATACAATATTGTCGTGGTTACACAGAAGTTTTGCCAGAGTAAATAACAAACACAGTGCAGAGATATATTGCATATTATGTGTTGCACCGTAGTTGAGGATGTTAGTAAGTGTGAAAATTGAATATTATCATCTTAAGCTACTTCCTTATTTACTCTTACTCTTATTCTTTGTCTCTGTCCTTTTACAATGTTTTATACCGTTGCCTTGCTTTAAAATGTGATATATACGTATATCTGTGATCTAATCAGTACCTTTGTGTGTGTGTTTCTCTCTCTCTATCTTTGTGTTTGTCTCTACTTGTGTGTATCTGCCTGTGTGTGTCTACCTGTGTGTTTGTGCTAACCTTACGCTTGTATCTGTTTATCTGTATTTACCTGTGTATTTGTGTATGTGTGTTTGTATATGTACTGTTATATCTGAACAAATAACTGAAATAAAATGAGAAATGGTTTACAGTGAAGAGAGTGATGGCTCTCTAACTCCCCCGTTTCTTCTTTACAGGTCAAAGTCTGGTTTCAAAACAAGCGATCCAAACACAAGAAGATGATGAAGGCAGTGCAGACGGGCGGGGCTAGAACCCCCCAGGGTACACCTGTGGTGCCCAGTTCGCCACTAACGACGGCCCCTCTGTCTTCAGCCGCCTCGCCCTACCAGACGTGTTCCACCCCGACTCCGACCAGTCCTACTAGCCAAGCGTATGGAGAGCCTGGGGCTCTGTTCCAACCTCCGGGACCCTCGTATACCAAAGCTCCAGTTATTTCAGTGTCACAAGCAGGCCCAGTGGTCGATCCACACCAGGCGGGCCACCACGAGTTCAGCCAGCATCCACACATCAAGTCTGAGATGATGACCCCAGCCTCTCATTCCCCCAACACAGCCTCGCCTCACGCCCATCCCCCACCGCCTCACCCTGCGTCTGAAGGTGGCTCGCCCCTCTCCTGTGTCTCACACCTACACTATTCCCCTCATTCTGAATCCCCGCAACCCCATTTTCCTTCAGTATTTTCTCATTCTCACCCATCTCACTCACAGCCATATTATTCTCACGTAGTTTCCCCTCTTTCGCATCCACCGCATTCACACCCATTACAGCTGCCGCCGCACGCCCACGGGCCGCCCCAACACCCGTCCACGCCCAGCAGTCAGTCACAAGACAATCATGGTTCTCCCCAGCTGTGTGGTCCTGGTGCACCCCCGCCCCAGCACCACATGAACCACCCGCCCCACGGTGGATACATGCCGCCCACCTCCATAGCTCCACCTGTATCCTCTGCTGACCACATGTCCTTACCGCCTGCCGCCTCTTCGCCCTCTCTGGCCGCCCACCACTGGGACATGAAGCCGCCCGTGTCGGCGCCCTACATGTACTCGTGGTATTCCCCAGACCAACAACATCTCCTCACTTAGTCACTCATCTTAATGTGTTGGCAACAAGGGCCAGTGACCACCGCCAGCTTCAGGGCCACCGAGCTCCTGCTATGGCCCGCTGTGTGGCCCACTGGTGGCCCGCGGCCTGACAGCCGGGACCAAAGATGACAAGAAGAGCCCAAGGGGGCATCCCAAAGATTTTGTGCAATATACTCGCCATATTGGCGATGATACGGAGAGCTAAGCTAAGTCACAGCTCAAGGTTCGTCTGTATGACTGAGCTATGAGCCACGATGATGGAACTTAGACTTAGCATAGCACGGGGCACGAGAGCAGCTGTGCTAGGTGCTTGACATCTGGACTGAGGGACATGTGGACCACTGCCGAAAACCTTGTTACTCTTGTGGTGTAGCTGTGGATTAAGGGGACCCTGGAATTAAATCTGTGTCCGTGAGAGTATCTAAAAACCAGCTAGCATGATCATCACTGGAAAAAGACCCATGCCTAAGATGTTTCATTTGATATTCAAAACGTGCACGGGATGATGCTCCGGTGCTAAGTCTATGCACCTTAAGCAGATAGAAATTAAAAACAAAACATAAGGTGATCTTCCATCAGATTTCGTATCCAGTGATATTGGTTATTAGAATGGTATATGGTGACCAGTACTGTGGCCAGATTATCCGTAGATTCCAGGGAAGAATGCAAAACACGAAGAAGTTGAAGATATCATGAACAGTTTAGCCACAGCCTGTTGCAAATCTCACAGGGACCCCCAACTAAGCAATCCCAACAGCAGCCACAATTATCCAGAGGGAGACACCAGACGGTATGCAGATGATGTGAGACTACATATTTGCATCAACAATGACCGACCGATCTTGCACAAGAAAAGCAGTGGCGGGCATATCATTTTGACTCTTACGACCCATCCACTAATCTTCTCACCGTGGAGGAATGTTCATCCTTCTCTCTTCCAAGAACTACTACTATTATTCCTGCAGACATAATAACGTGTTCCCCCTGTCCTTTCCTGTGTGCGAGTGTGTTTACATATGCGTGCGCGTGCGTGTGTGTAATCAAACACTAAAGTGCCCCGTACACATTGTGGTTGAGGTTTACAGTCCTCGCACCATACATAATCAGCGTAGCGTTTCCAACGATTTACGCGGAGTTTACACTCTCAAAAAGACCTTACGAGGAACAGTAGTGGACAATCAGTCGTCGACCAGGACACAGCACAAAAAATAAATAAATATATAATTTGCCAAAATAAAGCGGAAAGTTAGTTTGTCACTAGTAACCGCAGGTGCACTTCACTTAGCTTCTCTTGTCACTGTCACCCTCTCAGGTGTCTATCTCTGTATTTACATCTATCTGTCTCTCTCTCCCTCTCTCATTATTTATATACCATTGTACATATCCACAACATATATGTATTTAGTATTGTATGGAATTAAGCTTTAATAAAAATAAAAAAAGTATAAAAATATATCAAATATTTTTTATGTGAAGTCTAGATCTGTGTTCAAGAGACCATTCTAAAGAAATTTCTTTAATATTAAGATGAAAATGTATTTTATTTCCATCATTCCTTGGGTACTGACGCACAATTATCATCATTTACAGCTAAGAAATTTACCACGGTACGGGTGGGGTTAGAACTCATGGCAAGCGAGTCTTAAAACTCCAGGCTAGTGCGTCACAGTGGGGCCCATGCCATCCTTCCTATGGTGTATAAATATACCTGGTTGGATGAATGTTATTGTAGCGAGGCGGCCCAGTGGTTTACGCACTGGCCTGGAGCTTTACGACTCATTTGCCATGGGTTCTAACCCCACCAGTACCCTGGTTTGTTTGCAATCGTGCTATTATGATTTCGCGAGTCAAGAAATTTACCCTTTTATTACGAAGGAGTTAGTGTCCAAAAATTTAATTATGTAAGTGGAAACGCAGAACCAATTGTTGTTGACTGATTTACCGTAAATAAATGGACACATGCAGCCAATGCGACATTTTGTGGCAAAGTTTCGCTCTTCAGGAGCTTTGTCAAGTCGTAACGGCTTGACAAAGCTCCTGGAGAGCAAAATGTTGCCACAAATATCACATTAGTTGCATCTGTGTCCATTTACCTAACATTTTGTCGGTAATTCTACCATTTTTACTACCGTCAATAAGCGGGATTTATGGGCTGTCTTGAGTGATATAACTGCTAGCTATCTGACAGACTAAATGTGATTGACTGTCCCGATATCTTGCTTACTAATCTGTCGGCACACTACCTTGAAAACTAATTCGCAGACTGGCTATCTAGTTTGTTAACTGGTAGAACTAACTTGCCGAGTGGTAGGCTGACTGTCTAGATTAGTGATTTATAGGCTGCCTATTAGATTAAGAGTCTGCCTAGCTTACCGCATAATAGGCTAACTGTCTACCTTACTGATAGGGTGACTGTCTACCTTAGTAACTGGTAGGCTGACTGTCTAGCTTACTGATTGGCAACTTGGATGACCGGAATACGAGCCACGTGACTTACACCTACATTGTATGCAAAATTATTAGTGAAATAATTAATGAAACATTTGGGCGCTTTCGCGTGTTCACACACACATACTCAGTGTTTGGAAAACAAGCAGGAAAGTTAAATGTGAGATAGCTAAACCAGTTGACAAGATGAACCTAACAATGCCCAGTTTTTTTTTATACTGAGTTCTTTTAAGTCTATGGGAAATGTAGGGTGCGAAACTTGAAGCTCTAGGTTCTAAGGTGTTGTTGAATCCTAATGATTATTTTTATATTCCTAGGAAAGTTAATCGGGTTTGTTCCAAGGGAGAGGGAAGCTCCTATTTCTTGGATCAAGAGCCCTTCACTGACACCAAGGCACCCTCCCTTGACAGCAGTTTAAACTTAAAATGTTCCTTATTGTCCAATTAGGCAACTCCGATGAGGTACCATTACGTGGTTGTCAGAATTTTTTTTTTTCTTCCTTCAAAATGTCGTTTTGCTTTCGTTGACAACACGAGAACGCCTCATCCGATCGGCTTCAAATTTTCAACCCCGTGGTACGGTACCTAGAGCAATATTCTTGGAACAAATGACTTGTCCAGGCATCTTATGGTCAAAATTGCACCAATAACTTCCAAAACCCTCCGCTGCTTGGCTTTAAATACTCAAAAAAGATGTCCCATAATTCAACAACGGCGGAGAGTGACATTCTAGGGTGTAGGCGCACGTCTGCTAATTTTGTTTAATGTTAAATTATTACCATTAGATCACATAAAATATATTCGAGTACCTCTTCTGAATGGCTTCGATATATAATGACTGATACATCTTGCAGACACGATAGTATCCGTTACGTCTAGGTTGTGTGCAGGCATATTTTGTCAGTTTACTAAATTGGTTAAACGAATACGTGCAATCATTGGAATCTCTGCGATACCTGGAGAATGCCTCTTCTGGTCGGCTTCAAATGTTCAGCCCAGGAGTTTTCTTCAGAAAGTAAGGTAAGCATTGTTTAAGGATTGCATAAGTCTCAATTTGCCAATGAGATGGAAAAAATTGGTGATTTTTTATTTCCAATCAATAACTAGAGAATGCCTCGTCTTATCGGCTTCAAACTATTAACGCTGATGTTTTCCTCAAGAAAAATAACACGCTACATGTTAAGACTGTTTAGGTGCAGTTTTTTAATCCAATAAAACTGTTAAAAAATAAATTCGTTACATTTAGAGCAATTACTAGAGAGTGTCTTTTCCGAAAGACTTCAAATTATATTAGTGGGTTTTATTAAAAAAAAAAAAATAAAAAAAACGCTTGGTTTCCATGTAACAACTAGAGAATGACTCTTCTGGTCGACTTCAACCAAATAATTGTTGGTGTATCATAACTGCTAGTATTTTTGTATTAAATTTGAACTTTGTTTTTGACATTTTACCATTTTCATTTATCAAATTTATCTTTAATTAAAAAAACACACCAAATCGAAAGTTTATCCTCAGAGGATTAGTGAGAATAATAACAGAGAATAAAACTACAAAAAGAAAACTGGGAAATATTGAAAGTTCATTTTTACAATTATTTTAATTTTCATGCGTTAAGTAAAGCCTTACATAATGTATTATTTAATGTCAGAAGTGAGGAGTTTATTACTAGTGTGTCCTGGTCTTCGGTACCTTCCTCTAAGACTTTTGTTTATAACTTCAGAACGATCAGTTTCAAATTGTTGAACTAAAACTAAGGAAAGGTTCAATGAAAATTTTATTCGGACAATTCCTAAATTGATTTCCCTGAGTCTACTTTAGGAAGGTTATTCTGACAATCTTCAACATTTCAACAGTTAGAAGAAGGTTGGTACTGTTAATGGAGAGTGCCAGGTGCGGGTGCCATTCTGGCACTCAATCTTGAAATGATATAGAAATATTTTACATTAAATAACTAGATTATACTTCCTCATGTGGGAAAGGAGGGGGGGGGGTTGCTTTGATGTTGGAGCGGGGCTCTTGATGCAAGGAGCAGGGAGTCATCCTCTACTTCCTTGGATCGAATTTAAATGCCTCCTATTCCACCGACTTTATATGACTCACTACAGGTTTACTGTTCCCCCCCCCCCCTGATTAAAATCAATCAATTCTGAATGGCATCAATCTTAGTCAAACCTTAAACACTGGTCAGACTTAGAGAAGAGTTTAGATGTTTTTTTTTTCACCCGTTTAAGTCTAATTCTTCATTTTTATGTCAGAAACTAGGAAGATTGAAATACTGTTTATCATACAGTTATTTCTCAGTGCCTCATCCGATTAATTTCAACCCTTCAACGCTGATAACACGATAATGCAACTCATGAGAGGCTTCAAATTTAATATGCTGGAGTATTTTAAGACACTGATCTTTCGGGGTTAACAAGAGAATGCCTCTGCAGTTTAGTTTCAGTGCTGGTGTTTCTTAAGAGGAAGGACTGAATTAGCATTGACCTATTACCTAATTTGTCATTTTTGTTGAAATTGGGATATTAGTTTCCATGCAATAACTCGTGAATGCCTTTCCTGATTCACTTCGAGTTTTCAACGTTAATATTTAATTGCATTATAAACTTAAACCGCACTCTGTACTAGTCCTAACGTTTGCATTAGGGCATAAAGGGGTTATCCAGTACAGGGATACATTTCTCGCGTCGCTTAGCGATCAGAATACATCGTCAATAATACTCTTCTAAACTATCCTTGAAAGTTTTGTCCCGATGGAAGTATTTCTTGGACAGCACAAGTTATCCTGTGAGTGAAGTGTCTTGGGCAGCACCAGTTATCCTGTGAGTGCCTTGGGCAGCACCAGTTATCCTGTGAGTGCCCTGGGCAACACCAGTTATCCTGTGAGTGCCTTGGGCAGCACCAGTTATCCTGTGAGTGCCCTGGGCAACACCAGTTATCCTGTGAGTGCCTTGGGCAGCACCAGTTATCCTGTGAGTGCCTTGGGCAACACCAGTTATCCTGTGAGTGCCTTGGGCAGCACCAGTTATCCTGTGAGTGCCCTGGGCAACACCAGTTATCCTGTGAGTGCCGTGGGCAGCACCAGTTATCCTGTGTCTGGGCAGCACCAGTTATCCTGTGAGTGTCTTGGGCAACACCAGTTATCCTGCGAGTGCCTTGGGCAGCACCAGTTATCCTGTGAGTGCCCTGGGCAGCACCAGTTATCCTGTGTCTGGGCAGCACCAGTTATCGTGTGAGTGAACATACTGCAATAATGGCACAACAGAGCAGCACAAACAGTTGACAAGGAGTTACTGCTATAATTATCTCTGGCTGATCCAGCATATACAGCAGGTATCATTACCTTCACAATTATATCCTTACCTATAAGCCTCATTACCATTATAATTATAACATCTTTATCTTCAGGCATTACTACGTTTGCAACTACAGCATCTTCATCACCAGGTATTAATACCATAGCAAGTACGGTATCTTCATCTACAGCCATCAATACTGTAGCGATTAAAACATCCACATCTACAGAAATTATCATATTAAAAATTGTAGCATCCTCATCTTAAGATATCTCTGTCTTTACAGCTATTCTCATCTGAATGCAGAAAACCCTAGATATTTCTGAGAAAAAAACATACTGTGAGCCGTACTCGTGTAACAACTGAGATCGCTAGTCAGGGTTCTCTACAATTTGCTTCGTCACATACGTATGACGCAACATAACCAGTAACAATATGATGTTGCATATTTTTTGGGGGTTCACAATACATCTGCAGGCGGAGAGAAATAAAATTATAGACGTAATCGCGATACAAATCGTTTTACAGCAATAAACAGCATTCCGGATCAAAGAAAAGACATCTTGTGGTTCAGGTTTATTGCGCCGTCGATCGCGCGAGGTACCAAAAAAAATAAAAAAAAGTCCTGTGCGATAAATCCTCGTGTGTTGTTGGGTGAGAAATCTGGTTTAATCTGAAAGTTTTTATGAATTTTGCTTCCCACTTGGAGGACTTACAACCCGCCCTCCTACCTGAGGGAAGACATGCAGCCCACCCTCCTACCTGAGGG